CTCATTTATGCCTTGCTTTACAATTGCCATATGGAAAACTTAGACTCAATGGCCATGCTTAGTCATCAAATCAAGCATCATATATTTCAAGAAGTGCCAATACTCCTCCATCAGACAGGGATAGTTTCAGTCTCTCACTAAAATGCTTCATTAATCAATAAATATGTAGAACTTGAGTTACATCACTAGAATTATTTATTTTATACATTTAGTAATACAATCTGGGTGGTTTATGTACCTAGATTCTTTTCCAGTGCCCAAATATAGAAGATGAATAACTGTTAACCAAGAGTTTTACATTAAAAAACAGCTATGTGAAATCCCTAGAAAAATATTTTTCAGCTATAACAATCTGTTCCGTTCATTCTTAAAATTAACCTTTAAAAACTTCATATAAATTAGTCCATCAGAGATAAAAATCCTCTACTGAAATATAACTAAATGTTTCAGTACAGTGAAGTAAAAAGAAAGAAAAGAGAGAGGACGGGTTAAGAGTTTTTCATAGGAGAAGGTTAATATGAACCTTATGAATGAACAGTAAGTGAGCCAGTTGGTAAAAATATTTGCTGTCTAGATAAATACTTCACCAAATTTACAAAGGTCTGGTGAATAATTTTAACAATGTCTCTCTGAACTTGGAAGTTCTGTGTTCACTCCATCATTTCCAAGTCCATTTCCATGTTGTTTACCGGCTGCTAATATTCCAAAGGAATAAGGACAGCACTAAGAAACACATAACCTCTCATATAGCACTAGAGACATTATGGACCTGAGCCCTTAGCAAGGCTTAAGGAGAGGTTTTACTCCCCCATTTGAGTAGTCTTTCTTCATGCAGCTTTGAAAAACTATTACAACTTTTGAAATTCTTTTTTTTTTAATTCTTTTTCCACATTCTAAACTTTTGGTCTTCTTAACCTACATTCTCCTCCTACATTCCTAATATAAACATTCATTTATTTTAAAGAATGCTCCTTTACCTTAAAAAGGAAATTCAGAAAAATTATCTTTTATTATCAGATTTAGAGTTTTTTTCTTGGCATATTGCAACATCATAATCATCACCAGGTAGAAAATATTTAGTGGGACAATCATTTTAGAATAATGCAAATGCAACATAACTTAGAGGATGTGCTTACTTATTCAAAAGATCTGACAAAAAAATGATGAAAATAGACAAGAAAACTACAGTTATCTGCATTTCAATCAACTGCTGCTTCATGGAACTGCAGAAAAGCAGGTAAAAGTTTCATGAAACATTCTTTTCATGCAAGTTTGATGAAGTGAGAACTTCTAAATTGCATTAAAAGGCAGTTATCATCCAATTAAATATAATAATTAACATACTGCACCAAATTAAACTTCATGTTTTGCTGATTCAGTTCAAAAATTTAAACATACTTTAGAATTCAATGCTTCATAAAAACAGAAAGAAATTCTCCTCACAAGAGCCTGGGAAACAAGGTGGAGACAGTTCACCAAGCTAAAGTGAAGTAACCCTAGATCAAAACCTTACTAAAAAGCTCTTAAGCTCATCTATTAAGCTCTTAAAATGCTTTCTGCAGATGAAAAAGTGTAAATAGTTGAAAGCTTTCTTCATAGCTTCAAAAATTTCCAGTCATAACACCAAGAATGCAGAAAAAATAAACCAAGTTATCATGTACATAAATTCAAGGAACTTGCACCAAAGAGACTATTTCAGATCCTGTTTTATGGAGTTCATTTCACAAGCAGACGACATTTTGCCAACTGTACCAAAGAATGCTAATTATTGTTAATATTCATAACATATGAAAGCTGCTACATAGCTTATATCATCCTCTCACAAAATAATTCACAAGTAAAAGAATTTGCATCAACCGTTCCTTACAAAACTCAAGCCTTTTTGCAGCAAAAATCTTGATATATGAATGTGAAAATTCAAAAAACCATAAAGTTATTGCATATTATAACTCCACTACTAATCTGACTTACCTATGACACTAAAAAAACAAGCTTTTTGTCAAATTACATAACAGCCAATGTATCAAAATAATGATATCATTTTAATATCATAAGCTATAATACCTTCAGACATATATCAAATCTCTCAAATCCTATTACTCCAGGAAATAAAGGAGAATCAAATTTATACAGATCTACCAGCTGTATGCTTATCCTTATGCTTCACTTGTATCTTGCAATTGGCTTACATTCTGGTGGAAAAGAAGAAATCAGTACTAGTGTTCCTATCAGTAAACAATTAATTCTGTGAGATATATGTGACAAAGATTCTTTTAATGGACATAGCAGACAACAGAGAGCCAGACTTTGCAGAAATTTTAAATACCATGCTCCTTTTCCTTGCTGGAAAAGGAAGGAAAGAAATTCATTCTAAGACCACAACCATATAAAAGATGGTAGAATAGGAAGAATGATAGAAATGTGCATAAAAATCTTGAAGAACTCTGATTTCAAATAAATAATCTCTTCTCTTTCTGGGACAGAAGTTCCGCACATACATTGTAACACTGGATATCACCAAGCAGTCATACTGCTCAAATCATTTGGCAAACTTTCTCACAGTAGAATAGTTCCACCACTCTCCTACCAAAGGCTACAAAAGGTAGTAAGAATCCAGACACCAAAGAGGGAAACCCCCAGATTCCCAAAGATGCATCATTAGACATCATAGGAAAGTGTTTGGATGTGATGTATTCAAATTGACTTCTCAGGCAACCTTGAACCACAAGGTGTATAAAGAGAGACCAAGAAAACTGCAACATGGTTAAGTATATTCTGTAGAAGTTCCCCTGCCTGTCAAGTTGTCCACTTGTCATTTATCTAGAGGAAATATCCCTGGGGGTTTCAAACAAAGCAGTAGTGAGCATAACACTCTGAGAAGTTGGTAGAGAGAGCACCCTATGTCCATTTATTAGACATTCCCTCTTAGTGACAAAGAGGCCATTGAACAGCAGAATAATTTTAATTTGGAAGGCACCTACAGAAATTAACTAGTTCAACCCCTGCTCGGACCTAAACAGCTCAGTTGCTCAGTGCAATGTCCAGGTGAATCTTGAACCCTTCCCAAAACAGAAATCCCACAAAGTCCTTGGTTAATCTACTCCTGGGCATGACCACTCTTGATGTAATTATATTTTCCCTCATATCTAATCAGAATTCTTCATGTTCCAATATGAGTTTTAGTTCTCCATCTACTTCTTGGCTCCTCTGAGAAAAGTCAAGCTCCTCCCTTTCCTGTGTCCTCCAAGCAAGCACACAGCAACAGCAATGACTGGAGGAATTTAATAAACTGTCTCCTGGAGGAATGTACTATACTTCAAGGCCCAAGAAGTAAAGTCTGGCATAAGGCTTTGTGAATATACACATCACAGAGTGTTTTACATAGACAGTGATAATTTCTTTACATAGTGGGTTGACAAGCTATCAGTGGTTGAAGGGGAGCTGATGGTGCAATGAAGCTGTCTGATAAAAAACAGACCTTAACAGATTGAGTGTGATTTTTCTCACGAGATCCATGCACTGTTTGGGAATGAAATGCAACTACTCAACATGAACAAGATGACTGAGTCTATTAACAAGAAAAATCTTACACTGGCGGGGAAGAGGGAGGTATTGGAATGATGGGAGAACCTCAACAGATGCCACGAAAGGAAACAAAGATATTCCTGTCCTTCCTCTCTAGTGAAGGTCAACTGAAACTATTGCCAAAATCTTAGTAAATACAGAGTCATAGCTGCATAGTGTTTCTTATAATGTGAACATTGCCTGACCTTATACCTACAGGGATTAGCTGTTCCATAGTTTAAAAGGTACCAACCAGCCTCCCTCCAGAACTCCATGTGGCATGTTAATTGGGACTGGCATCTTGAACCTGGATTTCCTCAACTAATATATCTGCAATGTCAAAAGGTATGTCAGTAGGTGGCCCATTTTCCCTTGAGCAAGGAAATAACTAAGTCTGAATTCTTTGCATTAGGTTATGTTGCCATGAGCTCTAGGGCTTGTAGACAGAACATCAGTTTTGATTTCGGGCCCCTTTGCTTTTCACAGGCCATTCTCATGAGGTAATAACTCATTGAGGCAGGAAAAATAAGGTTAATACAGCACAGTTGCAACAATAAAGAGACAGAGAAACTTCCACATGAATGAGTCAATTGCTTCTGTGCCACTTTCTAAACCATTACAAATAGGTTATATCAAGAATAATCACAACAGAGAGAGCCAGAAAGTTACCTTGCAATATTGGTATAGAGAGTAATAAATTAAAGTAAAATATTCTACAGGAAAATATAAGAACTACAGACAGGAAAAGAGATACAACAAATTATTTTACCTGTTTCTCTGTGAGAATGACTCTGCTTAAGAGTTGATTTTCAAGACCTTTCATGGTTAAAGTAAAGTCAATGATGGAGGTTTGAGCACTAATTTCAGGAGAGTAACAAGGATTTGGTAGTTTTGTAGTAATGTAAAGTCTGAAGCCATTCATAACATCCACTTCCTTATCACCAACTTTTACCTTAAGTTAAAAAAGGTTAAAAAAAAGTCTTGAAATATAAAGAGCCAATACACACATTTTCAGATACTGCATATAGGAAAAAAGGTTACGTTTTTCTGCTTAAAGGCATAAAAATCCATTTTTAAATCATACATCTGATGCAAAAACTTTGTTAAGAACAGTCCAGGACCACCTTAAATGGCCCATTCAAACATTATTTCAACTTCTAAAAATTGTCATAAGCAAAGGAATAAGGAACTCTATGCGGTAAATATATTAACCATTTGTGAACTTAAACCCTACCTTTTATTTTCTTTCATTAGCATTGATCAAATTTAAATGAGTTTAATTTTTCTAGTCCTATATTTATTAGGAGTTATTTTGCTAAGGAGAAGTTTTGGGGAGGGGAAGGGTGGAAAGGAGAATTTACATATGTTTGCTCTTTTGTTTTATTTTTACCTTGTTGGCTGAACCTGTTTTAATGATGTTTCTTTCCAAAATTTTATCAAGTGCTGGGTCCAGCTCTTCTCCAATATCTTCTACTAAAAGAGGTCTTCCCAAAGAAAGGCTGTCTTCTAAGTGGTTTCTAAAATACTTATGATTCAAAGAAGTGATCTAAAAACATAGATGCAGTACCTTATGCCAATCTTTTTCTTAGTTTCATATTTATATATTATTTCATTTTCTTTCAAGTACTGCCAAAAGCAATGATCCTGTGAGTAGACCAGTATTAATGCAAACATTGTGAGCTCAAGGAAAGGGAACATCAGCATATCCTATTGCCAGATCTCATGGAATGCAAAGTTCTATTTTTCAGCTGCAAAGATAGAAGCAAAGCCGCACTTCCAATTTTGATATCCTATGAGTACAATTACTCAAGAATTTCACAGCAAAAATTCACAGGAACCTTTTAGCACCTTCAATTTTATTTTGGATAACATCTCCGAGTCAAACTGCACCAGGGTCAATTCCAAGATAAGTATTTTTCTGTGGTTTTTTTCACCCTTGAAAAGGAGATGTTTACATGGAACAGAACCTTAAATAGTCTTTGCTTTAAATAGTCCCCAGTATAACTGAGATTTTCAACATGTTCAAAAAGCACATTCAGCTTAGATGCTAATAAAGTTGTAAACAAACTAATAATAATTTTTATAATAACTAAGCAACCATTAAAGGTTTCTACACCTAGATAACAATCACCATGAAAGTGGTAGTTATATTCACAGAGCCACTCTATTATCACACCTCAAGCTACTTTTATGGATTTCAGGGTTTTGGGTTTTTTTTAAGAAAAAAAAGCTGGTTTATTGATGTAATTATAATTGCAGCAAGTAAGAACATTCTTCCTCCTATTTTCTTGTTTGAATTGAATTCGTGTATCTTGCCTCAGACTGTACATTGTAGCACTACATCTTCCCTGTATATTTGCAGAGCACTTAGCAGCTGGCATCCATACTAAAACAACAAAAATTAACATAATTTCTGATTAAAAGATGAAAAAAAAAATCTTGCTATAACATTTATAAATGATTCTTAATTTATAAACCCTTACATGGAATTGTATTAATTCAACTAGTTGTTGTTTTTTCCTAACACTTACATTATTCTGAAAACATGTTTATTACCAGACAGTGCCCATCCAGCCTATTTTCCAAAGTTTGTGTTCCATTAAAATAAATTCATTAAACCATGGAGTCACTGATGTTAAAGGATACACTTCCACATCTAATCAAATCTCAATTCCAATAAAATATATCTGAGATATTCTTTATATTCAAGCCAAGCTTTTTGTATAAATATAATTTCCTAAGCATTAGGGGAATCACTGAATTGTAATGCTTGTAAGCTGTTAGGGATTTTGAAAGCACAAGAATTTCTATTACCTGAAGGTCATTTCTGCCTTCCTTATTTTTAATCCAAATTTTGCCCTGTGTTTGTGGATCAATTAACAAAGGATAACGAGATGCTTTAGTGACAATGATTCCATTCTGTATGGATAAGTCGTCATTTGGCAATCCTTGCAGGTTCCATTCATGGATAGTTGGAGAATCAGTCAACATTTCTATGAGGTTCAAGTTGTTATGGAAAGGAATTTTTTGGCTTTTAATTTCCTTTTGCCAGTCATTTAACAGCAGACTGTGGAACTCTTGGTTAAAAGGACCAGAATAGGACAGAAAAGCTGTAGCCAAGAGTACATCACCTCAAAGAGAAAAAGGAGGAAAAAAACCCAAAACAAACCAAAGCATTACAACTTTGCTAATTCTATTAATGAACAAGCTGTTTCCTTCACTAGTTGCTAGTGTTGCTATGTTTTGGCTGGTAACTGAAAAACACACTTTGACCCATAAAGAAGGCAAATCAATCTTTTTTCCAAGGCTCGGTGCATTGCATGACAGTGGTACATTTCAACAGAGGCCACATTTACTTTGTTCTTCCTATGCAATTGTAGGAATCAAGAGATCAGCATCTGGCAGCTTGTTAAGGTCAATTCAACACACATGTAATGCTGTTCCAAACACCAGATCCTGCGCAAGCAGGATATGGCAGAGAGGACTTAGTCATGAACTTTTAGTTCCATCATTTCCTTGTGCATTCATAGGAACAGGCTTAAACAATTGGGGGCTGTGTGTGTTGGGGGAGTTGTGGGGGGGGCAGGGTGGAACCCCTTATAAGTACTGATTCAATGAAATTACTGTAAATCAATTACAATGATGAGTACTGGTAAAAAAAACTGTCAGAGACATCATTATGGAGGTGTTAAGTGGGACAACTTTTAATCTTCTGTTCAGTTTCAAAATTTCCCCCCTAAATTTCATGACACCATAGTTTGAGGGGGTTTTTTACCTCTGAAATAAGAACGCAAAATTTAAACTGGAGAAGATATCATACTATTATACTGAGCTAGTGTTTTTTGGACACTTTCAAGTTATCTATAAAAGAAATAGGATGAATATGTAGGGAAGGTATCCCAGATTTTTAATAAGTTAATACACATATATATATATTATAGTCGCAAATAAAACACAATTTAGTTACTATAATGCAACCCATACAACAAGGCTGCTTTTTGTAGCCTTTCCAGGTAAAAAGTAAAGAAGAAAGTTCAGCCCACAGTAAATGATGAGATAAATTTAATTGATTGATCTAAGTAATGAACCAATTATTTATCACAAAGTACTTTAGTTTACAAGTACAAATTTAAAAACCTAATCATGACCTTCTAAGAAGCAAATTCTTATGAACATTAGTAACTGCAGTTAAAAATATTGATTTCTACCTATAAATGTCAGTGCCTGAGTATCAGGCTTCCTCACCTCGATATATATTCTCAGTTATACACATTTTATTGGCTCTCACTCTCTTTGGACTATTACCTACAAATATCAGTCAAGTTAAAATTTTAGTGTCCCAAATATATGCCTCCACATTCACAGTATCCCTTATCTTTTCTTTTTAAATAATAACTTTAGCCTTATGTTTATTTTTCACCTAACAGGACTTTAGCAAGGGAATTAAAACAATTACCCTTGTTTTTCAGACAGGGATCTAACATACAAAGGAAAAGTTGGACATTTCAAATGTTTTTAGTTTCACTACTCCCTATTATTCAAACAACTTGCTTCCAAGTTCCAAGGTTTGGATAAAAACTCACCAACTAACGTCTTGGTTTGCATGGCAAATTCTTTACTCTGTTCTGTCCACTGTTATTTCTATTGGCTTTCCGCCCCTCCACGCAGCCCCCCGAATGAATCCGACTAGCTCAGAGATATGGGGCTGTGAGGGGAGGAAATAGCAGGGGAGAGGGAAAGGTAATCAGAAGAGGCTCCTTACCCAGGGTGTTGGAACAGCTCTCTTTATTCTGTGGTGTCCATGGAGAGCGGGGCAAAAGAGAGAAAGAGCAGGAAGTTTCAGGGGTCTATATAGGTTTTGGACAGGGTGGGCACTCCTGGCTCCCCGCCAACCCCATTGGGGCAGGAAGGAGGATCCAGGAGTTATCATGATCAGAGCCACAGACGCCCTAGGAAAGGGGGGACAAAAGGGTGTCCAGGAGCTCACCATAACACCTCCCCCTTATTTGTTAAACAAGGTTACAGGAATTCACTGGGCTCAATTCAACCCCGAGTATGGGTTTCCCACCACCCCATGTTGGTGGCGTGGTCAGGCCTCCTCAGGTTAGCCAACTCTATGTGGTTGACCTCTGAGGTAGAAGGTATGAGGCCCTTGATAGCTTTGAAAATCAAGTGACGCAGGATCCCAAACGCTAGGGTTACAAAGAACAGAATAACAAAGACTAACAAAACTGATCTAACTACAGATGTCCACCACCCCGTGAATCCCCATCCCTTGAACATTCTCTTCAGCATTTGCTGGATGACAACTTGCATGGGGTTCATCACAGGGTTGAGTGGAAGGTAGGTTTTCTCTAAAAGGGAAGAACAAACATTTTAAGAACATGTTAAAGCTTCTGTTTCTGCCGGAAGGAATTCCTGCCTAGGAACTTTCTTCTTCTCCCATCCGGCGGCGTCTTCTCTTTGAAGCATCAGATACTTGCTTCTTGTCCCCTTCTGTTTGACCTGGATTCTTGGGGACAAAAGGTTTCACCCACTTCTGGGGAATCCACCGAGGGCCTGAGGGAGTAGCTACACACGCATAGCCACGACCCCAGGTCACAAGTTCATAGGGACCCTTGGTTTCCCAAGTTTCTGGATCCCTAATCAAGACCGGTGGATGCTGAGACAATTTAAACTGCTTGCCACTGTTAAAGTGACGTACAACCGGTGGACTCATATTTTCGAATGAACAATTCAGAAAATTGATAGTAAACATAGCTTTACAGAGCTTCTCTCGTGGAGACATCCACGGAGCTGAGCTGTTTTGTTTTTTCAATACCTGCTTGAGCGTCTGGTGTGCACGCTAGACTACAGCTTGACCTGTGGGGGAGTGGGCAATGCCAGTCTTATGTTCCACTCCCCACTGCTGGAGAAATTCCAGGAACTCCTTGGATACATACGCTGGGCCATTATCTGTTTTGATCGTTTTTGGCACCCCCAATACTGAAAATGCTTGTACTAGGTGTTGTTTGACATGTGCAGCCTTTTGTCCTATATGGGCAGAGGCATACACTGCACCTGAGAATGTGTCCACGCTTACATGAACGCATTCAAGGCGACCAAAACTCTGAATGTGTGTGATGTCTGTCTGCCATACCTCACAGCTGCTAAGGCCTCTGGGGTTTACCCCCATGCCTAAGGATGGCACCGCCTGGAGCTGGCAATTAGGACAGTTGGTCACAATGGCTCGGGCCTGACTCCGTGTTAGCTGGAACTGTCGAATCAAACCTGGCACGTTCTGGTGGTAATGTTCGTGACTCAGCTTTGCCTGTTGGAAAACATCAGGGAGACTTGCCTTTTCGACTGGTGCAGCGAAGGAGTCTGCTTTTCGGTTCCCCTCTGCAATCTCACCTGGCAAATCAGTGTGTGACCTCACATGCATCACAAAGAATGGATGTTCTCGGTGTGAGATTAAATAAATTAGCCTTGAGAGTAACCTGAAGAGATGTTCATTTTCTATTTCTCTGAGCACAGCCTGCTCCACCCTGGACACTACACCTGCCACATAGGCAGAGTCTGTCACCAAGTTGAACGGCTCGGAAAACCTCTCAAAAGCTCTCACCACTGCAGCCAGTTCAGCCACCTGTGGGGATCCCTCCACAAGCTCAACATCAGCTTCCCAATGCTGAGTCTGTGGATTTCTCCAAGTCATCACCGACTTGTGGGAAGCCCCAGAGGCATCAGTGAACACTGTGAGAGATCTGAGTGCTCTCCGGCTCCTTTTCTCTTGAGGAATCAGGTGGAATTCCTCATTGAACAACTTGTGAGACGGGGCATGGACTGATATTTGTCCCCTATAGCTGTCCAGAGATAGCTGGAGACTGGCACTGCTCTGGAGCAAATGCTCAAACATCCCTTTAGTCAGTCTCTCAGGAGAGTTCCTTCCCTCCTCAGAAAGCCTGACTGGAAGGTGAATACATGCAAAGTCACACCCTGCTAATTCACACAACCTCACCCTGGCCTTCTGAATCAGCTTTGCTATCAGCTCTTGTGGCCTAGTGATGGTTTTGGATCTTTGGAACGATAGGAAAACCCATTCTATGATTAAGAGTGGGTCCTTCTGCCCCTTGATCCATTGGAAAATCAACCCATGCAGGTGTGGGAGCTTTCCTAGAACAATGAACTGGAAAGGCAGATTTGGGTCACACCTGTGTGCCTGCCTTTCTGACAAGGCCTTCTGTACCTTTTCGATTGCTGTCTTTGCCTCTGGAGTCAGTTCCCTGGGGGAGGTCAGCTCCCTCTCCCCCTTCAATAAATTGAAAAGAGGTTCCAGGTCCTCGTTTGTGAGGCCTAGCCAGGGCCTTACCCAATTTAAAGACCCACACAGCGAGTGGAGGTCTGCTAGTGTTCTGGGGTTGCAATTTATCTCCAATTTCTGTGGGACAATAGTCCTTGCAGAGATTTCCAGGCCCAGGTATCTCCAAGGTGGCATTCTTTGAACTTTGTCTTCCTGCAATTTGAATCCAGCAGAGGTTAAAACTTTAACCACTAGGTCAAGTGTATATTGGAGTATAGAGTCATTGGGAGCACACACAAGCACGTCATCCATATAGTGTAGGATGATGGCATCCTTTCTCTCTGCACGTACTGGAGACAGTAGTGCTGCTACATACTGTTGGCATATGAAAGGGCTGGATTTTAAACCTTGGGGCAAAACTTTCCAGTGGTAGCGTTTCATCGGTGCTTCTCTATTGACCGTGGGAACTGAGAATGCAAACCTCGGGGCATCTTCAGGGTGCAATGGAATTTGGAAGAAGCAGTCCTTTATATCTAACACAGTCAATTTCCAGTCCTGGGGAAGCATAGCTGGGCTCGGCATCCCCGGTTGGAGAGGTCCCATGTCCCCCACAATTTTGTTTATCTCTCTGAGATCATGGAGCAATCTCCATTTGTCCTTCCCAGGCTTCTTTAT